GAAGGGAAAGACTTATTAGTTGCAGATACATTGAAATTAGCTAGAGATAAAGTGGAGGCTGTGTTACGATTAGACAATGCAATGACTTATTCGTTCAGGATAAATAATGAAGTGAATAATTATGTTTTCCAGTTAATAAAGGAACAAATTGAGAATAACAAGATATTTATTTCTCACTCCTTAAGTGCCCCCATAGATAATACACCATTATCTAATTTCCCGGATCAACGTAGTGTTCAGTCTTCTACATCATCTGTTCCAACTTTAACTAATAGGAATATTCTTAACTTGATTCAGGCTGAATCCAGAAATAATTCTAATCTTCCTTCACCATTACCTCAGAGGCCTCCTGTAATGTTTTCGGACACTTATATGAATGCTGATGTAATCCCAAATAGTTCTATGAGCTCGATACCAAAGTCGGAATCAGAATCTGAGATATTGATTCCCCAACCTAAAATGGGAAGAATATCAAGGGAAGGTGGACCTCAAGAAATACCGGACGCTTTAAGTGCAACATTTGGTGAACAAGAAATAGCTGATATTGGTTCAAATTTACGTCATGAATCTGACCCTAGCTCCTCTTCTAATACCCCGATAACATCTTCATTTAATAACAGATTGTTGGGAAATGCTTCTTCGCATTCGTTGGTTGTGCCAAAGTTGAAAACTAGTATAATGTTAACACCAAGAAGAGGATCTCCACTATTAAATTCTTCGTCTTCTTCGACATCCAATACAACGGCATTGAATCAACCAACGAGGTCAAGCAGTGGATCTAAATTGAATATAGAGAGGGCTAGGTCGCCATTTAACTCACCCTTCACAATTGCTCGTGATTTTTTGACTCCTGAACAATCATCTAATGTCAGTAATTTACCTAAGCAACCATTATCTCCTTTATTGTTAGCAACTAATACCGCGAAAAGTCCTAATCCTAGTATAAGAGATTATAACGTCATAAAACCTATAAGTAAAGGTGCATATGGAAGTGTCTACTTGGCTAGAAAGAAGTTGACGGGTGATTACGTAGCAATCAAAGTTTTAAAGAAGTCTGATATGATAGCAAAAAATCAGGTTACAAATATTAAATCTGAGAGAGCAATTATGATGGTTCAAAGTGAAAAGTCATATGTTGCTCGACTATATGAATCATTTCAGAATAAAGACAATTTGTTCTTAGTCATGGAATATTTGCCTGGAGGTGACTTAGCGACTGTTATTAAAATGATGGGATATTTGCCAGATAAATGGGCAAAGCAATATATAAGTGAGGTGATTATTGGAGTAGAAGATATGCATAAAAATGGAATTATTCATCATGATCTAAAACCAGATAATTTGCTAATTGGGAGGGATGGGCATCTAAAATTAACAGATTTTGGTCTTTCAAGAGCTGGTTTAGTACAGCGTCATCAGAACGTTCCTTCGAAATCTAAACAAACTAGTTTGGTTGCCCCATTAACACAAAGCAATGCAGGGAGTTCAATACTACAAGGTAATAATTCTGATTCTGAGAAGGCGAGTGCTGGGACATTAGCAGAACTGAATATCCGTGAACGTGAAAGGAGTGATTCTGTATCAAGTTCCTTATCAAACAATGAATCGATAATAAGGAGAAATAATTCTATTGGATCATTCACATTACTTGACCTTACAAGATCAGAAACTCCGACAACTTCGATTATTACACGACCAAGAGCAAGTTCGACATTGTCAGAATCTTTCGATATAAATTCAGTTACAGATTATGCATTATTTCATCCTGACGACTCAAAACAAAAGAAGAAGTTTTTCGGTACTCCCGACTATTTAGCTCCAGAAACAATTAAAGGTACAGGAGAAGATAATCAATGTGATTGGTGGTCTGTCGGTTGCATTCTATTTGAGTTGTATTTTGGGTACCCTCCATTTCACGCAAACACTCCGGAAGCTGTTTTTGAAAATATATTATCACATAATATTGCATGGCCTTCATTCTCATCACCTGAAGAGGAGAAGGAATATATTTCGGTGGAAGCAAAAGATTTGGTAACAAAGCTGTTAGTTTCTGATCCAGCCTTAAGACTGGGAGCTAATGGGGCATCAGAGATTAAAGAACATCCATATTTCAAGGATGTTGACTGGGATCACGTTTATGATGAAAAAGCATCATTTGTACCATCTGTTGGACATCCTGAGGATACGGACTACTTTGAGTTAAGAGGTGCAGTATTAGAAGATTTGGGCGAAGATTCGGATGACGGGAGAGAGGATCCATCGGGTGATATGTTTGTTTCGACAGCAACTCCGAAGAGTTTGTTGGCAGATGATTTAATGAGGAAAGTTATTAATTCTCAGATGAGCACACCATACAATTCTAGTGGATCAAGAACACCATTGAATAAATTAAGTATATCTTCAGTCCTTGAATCAGATTCACAAAAAAATAGTGATCAGGGCTCTCCAACTTTGAAACAAGTACCTTCAGCCATTCCACCACATATGAGGGAAAGAAGATATAGTAAGTTGAACGATCCCCAGGCTGAGTTTGGATCGTTTAACTTTCGTAATCTTTCTGCATTGGATAAGGCAAATAAAGATGCTATAAGTCGTCTAAAAAATGAACATTTGTCGGATCATCCTGGTGTCCATAGAAGGACTTCTTCTTCTTCTTTACCCAGTTCGTCCTCTGAAGGTTCAGTATCAAAATTGAGAACTGCAAAAGCTCCAAGCGTCAGTTCCCCGAACAATATGCATAAACCTCGCTCCTCTATCGTGTCAGAAACAGGATCAATACGCTCAATTTCACCGGATCGTAGTTTGAATATAACGTATGACATCGACTCTAGGAAAAACAGTGTAGACGATACGGATCCTAATTTGAGTCCATTGATGGTTAATATCCCCCCACAAAATGATTCGTTTTCGATAAAACAGAAATCTCATCTATCGCCTATGGGTACAAATAGTCAATTGATGGGTTCGCCACAATTAGGAAAAGCAAGATGTCTTTCGAAAAGTTCCCAGAGAACTAATTCTACTGAACTAAGTAGTGAAGATTCACAAAGACTACATGCCATATCCAAGGTCAATTCTGTCAGGAACAGAAGAAGAAGTGCAAGAAAGAATTCGACAGAAGCCGATGAAATGAAGTACCATATGGATATATTATTATGTGAACCAATTCCTATCCATCGATATTGTACAACAAGTGGATTGGAGAGCTTAGGTTGTACTGTAGTTGCAGTAGGTGCTGGTGATGAGTTAGTAAGGAGAGCCACTAGCGGAGTTAAATTCGACCTTATAATTACAGCCCTTAGAATTCCGAAACTTGGCGCTGTAGATATAGTCAAACTTTTGAAACATACAAATGGAATAAACTCAACGACGCCAATAGTGGCAGCAACCTGCTATTTTGAAGAAGCTTCAAATACAAATGTATTTAGTGATGTCTTAGAGAAACCAATCTCTATTCAAACATTAAGGAAATTAATTTCCAAATATGCGCTCATAAAATCCCAAAGACAAGAGGAATCGATACAAAGTGATAATGACACTTCTTGATATAATCATTTTAAAGATAATATCAAAGTATAACCCATCAACATCATTGTCTTTTCTACTGTCAGTGCCATTATCCCAGTTCTAATTGCCTAAAATGGTTCATAGTTAACCTCATCTCATATTTGTCATTATGTACGTAATTGAAAATTTTTTTTAATTTTGGTGTGATCATATTCACCTGCAAAATTTCACTCAGAGAGATACTACAATAACCAACTGATTTTTTTTTATTTGGTCGATGGAAGTCAAGACAATAAACTATTATTAGTCAAACTTTGACAAATATTTATAGTTTTATTATTTAGGAATCAATTCCAATTCACTGGATAATTTTTCAGCTTCAAATACTCTGCCAGGACGCTCATTTGAGTAGGACAAGACAAGGAAATACACTACGAAAGAAACAAAAAAATGCCAACTGTTTCAGTTAACAAACAACAATTGTTTGATCTTTTAGGTAAAAACTATACCAATGATGAATTCGATGAGTTATGTTTTGAATTTGGTATCGAATTGGATGAAGATACCACTGAAGAAGCTTTAAAAAATAATGAAGAACCAGAATTGAAAATTGAAATCGGTGCTAACCGTTATGATTTGTTATGTATTGAAGGTATTTCTCAATCTTTAAATGAATATTTAGGTAGAGCAGAAACTCCAAAATACAAATTGTCTAAACCAACTACTCAACTTATTGTTGATCAATCAACTGAACAAATTAGACCTTATGCTGCTTCAGCTGTATTGAAAAATATTAAATTCACTGAAAAATCATATGCTTCTTTCATTTCTTTACAAGATAAGTTGCATTCTAATTTGTGTAGAAACAGAACTTTAGTTGCTATGGGTACTCATGATTTAGACACTATTGAAGGACCTTTCCATTACCGCGCTTTACCTCCAAAGGATATCAAATTCGTACCATTGAATCAATCTAAAGAATTCAATGGTGAAGAATTGATTCAATTCTACAATTCCCCAGAACAAAAGAGTAATTTGGGTCGTTTCACTCATATCATTGAAAACTCTCCTGTTTTCCCTGTGATTATGGATAAAAATGATGTTATTTGTTCATTGCCACCATTAATCAATTCTGAACACACTAAGATTAAATTAGAAACACGTAACGTCTTAATTGATGTCACTGCTACTGACAAGACAAAGGCTGAAATTGTTATTAACATTTTAGTATCTATGTTTTCCCGTTACTGTGATGAAGAATTCGTTGTTGAACCAGTTGAAATTGTTTCTGAACACAATGGTCAAACTCGTATGTGTCCAAACTTTACAGAAAGAAAGATGGATGTCTCAATGAAATACATTAACTCTTGTTTGGGTCTAGAGTTATCCCCAGAAGAAATCGCTGGTTGTTTAAAGAAAATGTCCTTGCACGGTGTTGCTTCTACAGAAAATAAGGACGTCATGCATGTTAACATCCCAATCACTAGACCAGACGTCTTACATCCTTGTGATATCATGGAAGATGCTGCTGTTGGTTATGGTTACAATAACTTACCAAAGGGTGAAAAATTATCTAACGCTAACTTTATCTCATCTCCATTACCTATTAATAAGGTTTCCGATATTTTTAGAACAGCTTCAGCTCAAGCATCCTGGTTAGAAGTTTTGCCATTGACCTTATGTTCTCATGATGAAAACTTCAAATTTTTGAGGTTAGAAGATGATGGTAAAAAGGTTGTTAAGTTGGCTAACCCAAAGACATTGGAATATCAAGTTGTAAGAACCAGTTTGTTACCAGGTATTTTGAAGACAGTCAAGGAAAACAGAAAGCACTCTTTGCCAATTAAGGTTTTCGAAACAGGTGATGTTGTCTTCAAATGTGAAGCAATGGAAAGAAAGGCATACAACGAACGTCATTGGGGTGCTATTTACGTAGGTAAAAACTCTGGTTTCGAAATTATACAAGGCTTGCTAGGTAAGATTATGCAAACTTTTAGAACACAATGGTTAATTGACTACGGTGCCAACAATGTTGGAAGGGGTTACTGGATTGAACAAGATGATACTATTCGTACTTACTTCGAAGGTAGAGGTGCCAAGATTATGTTCAGAGCTAAGGAAGGTGAGCAACCGCAACAAATTGGTCATTTGGGTGTCCTACATCCTGAAGTCTTGAACAATTTTGACATTCCATACGCTGCCTCATATGTAGAATTAAACTCTGAAGTCTTTTTGTAGATTATTTAATGTTTGATAAAAGAATTACGTTATGAATTACATTCCTTAAAGTACTATATATCTCTATAAATGATTATAATACTCACATGCTATTATGTATAACTAAATTTCCATTTAGTGTATAATGCTAATTTGAAACCAATAAAATTCCTTTTCGAAGCAAGTTTATGCTAAATCATCTGGAAAGGAATATGAAATATTTCTGTTATTCCCTTCGATTTCATCATCCTTCGGAAGAACTGGACGGCCTGCGTTCAATAAGGAGAAATTATTTGGGCTTAACGGTGGTTGTAAATAGACTTGAGCCTCTGGTTTAGTTAATTCCATCAAGTCAAAAATTCTGTCCTCAGATTTGTTACCCTCTTCAGATTGATTTTTATTCAAATCGGATTTTATACGTGCCAATTCTTTCATTAAAGCACTATGATCCACCAATGAATTGTCCTTCTTTTTCTTGGAAGCCATGGAAGGGTCAGACTCCGATGTTTGGTCTTTACCTTCCTCTACCGCTTCTTCAAACATAACTTGCCATTTTGATTTCTTTGGCTTCATCCAAACTGGCAACCATGAATTGCTCTTCTTCCTCTCAAGAAGCTTCCTTTGTGCAGCATCAACATCACGAACCAGTTGTCTTTGTCTTCTAACCTCTTCTGGATCGATAGTTTCTTCAATTTCCACGAATTCTTCACTCGTAACATCAATACCTAATTCTTTTAATAATTTTGGCATATTTTTACGATAATTCATATGACCATCAACAATTTCAGTACAGTTAAAATTTTCAATGCCTTCGATGTCTTCAATTGGCGAAATACCCATAACAGCACTAAAACCACCTGCAGTTGCTCTAAACAAATAGGCTAAAACCCAATCTTTGTCGGAATATCCATTTACAAATCGTCCGCTAACCACTGATCTTGCCATTACTAAGTGGTCCTTATTTCTTACAGTAGGAGTACCGAACAGGAACGCATTTTCAACAATACCCATTGCTTTTCGCTTACAAAGCTCTATTAGACATGAATAAATGACTCTTGATCCCAAAGAAAAACCAACTAAAGTAACTGGACGTTGACCAAGATTTCTTGAAATCAAAGTGTCTGCCAGAATCAACCCGGCAGACCATGCACGATCAAGGGAGACATTCCATGGATTATCAATAATATAACCCAGCTTTGATAACGCCATTGGCCATTGGATAGAGGTCATAAATGCAGTCAAAATAGTTGCACCCAAAACTTGTTGGATAGTTTGAGTAAATACTTCACTAGCAACAATACCGATTGTCTGACCAGTAGATTTCAACATTTCAGGTTCCCAATAAAGCGAGTATAAATCACCCTCGATTGGATCTACTGTTGAAAAAGGTAATCTGACATCATCCTCATTACCAATCATCCACCCAGAGACAGTTAAAATTAAATTCAACCTACGATTATTATGCAACGGTCTAAACTCAAATGTCCGAACACTACCCATTCTTTTGGACATACCTTGCGCACCAATTTTTGCACCAATTGCAGTACTTGTTATGGCAACTGTGGCAGTACCTCCAACACCAGTTAGAAATCCAGCTGCACCAGTGACACCAATTGTTGATAACCCAGCAGCAATACCAGCACCAATAACTGGTGCAAGCAAACCACCACTTAAACCTAAAACCAGCGAACCACCTACCATTGCAAGACCAACATATGCCATTTTTTTTTTTCTATTTTTCTTTCTTCTATCTTTCATCAATTGTTGCTCATTCCAAATTTGATCTTCTGTTGATTGCTCTAAATCTAATGCATCAGTAATTCTTTTTTCAAATTCATTTATTTCCATTTTTGATATATTTAAAACTTCGGCAAACTTAATTAACAAAGATCTAGAACGGGAATCATAGGATGAATTTTGAAGAAACAATAAAAATAGGTCACAAATAATAGTCCAGGCAATATCGACTTCTAACCTATGTTTATTTTCTACACTCTTTGGTTCAATAATTTTGTTTGGGACATTATGGGATTCCTTTTCATTATCTTCCGCGATATCTAAGTCAGTAAGGGTCACATCATTCGGATCTTCAAGATCAACTTTTTCGTTAACAGTTTCATTTACATCTTGTTTAATTTCTTTTATATCTTTTAAGTCGCTAACTGGGCTGCCCTCTCTTGAAAGAGATCCTTCGTTTGCGTCATTGTCTTTCTTCTCAAAAGGGTTATCGATATTTTGGGTTGTCTTCAAACATTTACACAAATCTTCCAGTTCAATACCATGTAAGGATAATTTTTCAACCATTTTAATTTCCTCTTCATTAATATCCAGATGTCTATATAATCTGATAAGTATGTCGGTCTTCCACGCAGCAATTTCCTTTTGAGAGTATTGTAATCTTTGAGCTAATTTTTTACGGGACTTTATATCTACACATAAGGACAATAATGCTAGATCTTCACACATCTTATTTGCTAGAACATTAATAGCGCCAACGTATGCAATTTTTTCATTATCACTTAATAAATTTCTAGTGACTTGTAACTGGGAATTTGCATTAATATCATTCATCATTTCTACATCATCTTCGTATTCATCATAATAATCATCATTTTCATCTGAGTTTGTAGAAGAAGCCAATGAAACTTTTGAGTTGTTCATTTTCATTAACGTTTTATGATCAAATAAGAAATCTGTTTTTTTATTATTGATATAAGTTCTTTGTGCTTGTTCTTCTGCACCAACTTTTGTATAACTGAATGCAGCAGTTTTCTTTTTATCTTTTTCGGCTTCTTTTTCATTCTCATTGCTAACATTTTTCAACAAATCAGTCGAAGAGGATTTGTACAAACTATTATCATAAGGTTTTATCTCTAACTCACCTTTATTGTTATAAATGTTATAAGAAGCGACAGCTGGCATTGTTTGCCATCCGCCACTATCTGAATCTGAGTCCGAATCTAAGTTATTATTAATATTTGAGGATTGGAAGACTTGGGAATCTTCATTATTACCATTTCCCAAGTCTGTCACAGATTTACGCCCTCCTATATCAATTGAATTTGAACTTATAGCAATATCTGAATTTACACTTACCCTTGAATCCAAATGGGAATTTGTAGACCATACATTGTCCAAACTCTTGCGGGGCTGAGATATGCCCAAACCTATATCACTTGAATAAGAACCAAATGGATTCAATTCGACGACGTTCGCCTGACCATTCGATGGGATCATATCTGATGATGGGGAGTCTTCATATGGTGGAGTCGCAGTAGACACATGCACATTATTTAAAGCACTTGATAAATCTTCACCATCACTGTAATCTAATGTATTATTGCTATTATTATTATTATTATTATTATTATTATTATTATTTCCAATATTTTGATTAGTGTTTTTCTTTAATGCTCGTTTAAATTTCAATGGTTTCAATTGAACACCTAAATCTTCTTCTGAATCGGACATAATAAGACCACCAATTAACTACAAATCTGTTCGATCGATGTTTACTCAACCAAATGTATATTAAAACAAAATAAAATTAGAACCAAACAAGTATATGCAAAAATCTCCTAGTGCTAGCAGGAAAAAGAGGAATTAGATAGATAGATCAAAAGAGATGATTAACTTTGGATCTTCCTATAGTGGATAAGCAAACAATAATCCTCTTTATAGCTAAAGTTGGTCCTTGATGGATAACTATATCAACTAGACTTCTTCAGAATTAAGGTTTACATTTAAAGGATTATTATAGTGTCTTTTCATATATATTTCTCTGATTTGATTTTAGTCAAAACTTTATAAAATGAGAAAGATGGGAAATAAAATTACAGAAGTCACGTGGATATGAAAGTAAAAAATTAATTTTGCACGTGATATTATAATGTATGGGTGTATCTGTACATCAGTGCACCAGACGTCACTTGAACGATTTTGTCCATCTTTAAAGAAAGTATCACGTGTACATGAGACTTCTCGAAAAAAAAATATATCGCTATTTTTATTTTGTTACAGTTTGTTGAGCAACGGCGTGGGGGAAGAATTACCATAAAACAAACAAACAAAATATCAGTGAGTTATACCACGTGATAGACGCAAAAAGTACCTTTTCAGTTGAAATTTTCACAACTTCCCAAATTTTTCACTTTTGTTCGTCAAACAGCAAGCCCAACAACAAGCAACAGACTATCTAAAGCAATAATGCAACTCAATCCCATCACCAAACTTAGACTTCTATTCAAACCCAACCTCTTGTTATATAAACTGATTGATTCATTTATTTTTATTTAAAAGAACTTCTTGTCAATACTTGTTGTTACTCTTTCTCCCTTTCTTGTCATTTACAAAGAAACCATCACATAGATCTATAAGAAACAATGGCTCCAAACGTATGTCAATTATTGAGGAACCAATAAATGAAATATACAGGTTACATGATCGTTTAATTCTATTGAACAATTACGTTTCAGACTGGTATAGTCTTTGAAATGTTAAGCTAATTCTAGAGTCCCTTGTCTTTAGAATGGGTTGGATATATTATCTATATAAGCAAAATCGTGTGTGCGAGTGTGTGTGTCTGTCTGAGGTATAGCTTGAAAGTCGAAACAGAAATGTGTTGACTTGCTATTCTGTATTTTAAAAATTCACTAACATTTATCCAAAAATTAAAGAATTTTATTTTTTGGGCATTTGTTTGAATAGTGATTGTTAATAGCAGTAGGCAATTATTGTAACACCTGTAGATAAGAACGTTACAGTGGTTAATATTAACCGTTGTAATGTACTTGTCGAAATTGGAATTTTCGTATTTGATACTAACAATTAATATTTTATGTAAACTTTTTTTTTACATTTATTTCAATTATTTTAGACTTCCAGAAAGCAAAAGATCACCAAGACCTTCACTGTTGACGTCGCTTCTCCAACTGAAAACGGTGTTTTCGACCCAGCTGCTTACGCCAAGTACTTGATCGACCACATCAAGGTTGAAGGTGTTGTCGGTAACTTGGGTAACGCCATCACTGTTGAAGAAGATGGTTCCGTTGTCACCATTGTTTCTACTGCCAAGTTCTCCGGTAAGTACTTGAAGTACTTAACCAAGAAGTACTTGAAGAAGAACCAATTGAGAGACTGGATCAGATTCGTCTCCACCAAGACCAACCAATACAAGTTGTCCTTCTACCAAGTCACTCCAGAAGACGAAGAAGAAGACGAAGAATAAATTAACAATAAATAACATTTGTAACTTTATTCCGTTTTTTTCAATACTTCTTTCTGCATCATCTATAATCAATGGTTTATCTTAGTTTCATTTTTGATCTAACCTCAAATATGGAAATATATATAATAAACCAATTTTGTTAGAAATAGAATTTAATTTAATTTAATTAATATCACCACTTCTTTCAACCCATTCATTATTAACCCAATATCATCATCTGTATAATAATATTTTACTAGTAAATAAATGAGAATAATATTTTAAGATATCTCAAGGATAAAAATAACAATTCTTCATGTATAGTTTGATCTAAATCATCCAATATCTTGAAATCAGAAACCTGAAGAATCGGAAATTCTTGGATTTAGTCTCTAATCATCTTCTACTACCTCCCTGACAATACTTCGTTAGCTACGACCCTTCCCATCCTGACCTTATCCTTCTTCTTGTTATTGTTTACTATTCACTACTTTAGCTCGATTCGATTCGATTCGATTCGACTTTTTTATATATCAAGTTTCGAAACTTTTTAAGAAACGTCAAGATAAAAAAAAAATACATATATAAATTTGATTCAAGCATAAACTGCAACATAAGAACAGGTATACAAGGGAGTCAAGAGGTGATTAGTATTTGATTAAGAGCCTGGAACGTTGTTGAAAATATCTATATTTTATAAGTAATGTCTTTTTTCAATTTTAAGTATGTATAGGTTGAATTTTATGTTAAAAATTTGGGGATGTGTACTTCTAATAGAATTTTGATCCAAGTCTTCTTGTTTTGTTTGCTTTTGATTTGGGTTGGAAAGGTACATATTCCTATTCAAATATTTGATTTAGTTACTAACAAGTGTTTTAATGTGGACTGCGATACGGATATATATCTGTGTTTATGTTTATTTTAAATTGTTTTTTTTTTAAATTAGAGGTTTTGGAAGAAATGGCAAGAAAAATAAGAATCAACCTACAAATTTAGGGGCACCACCAGCTGCAGCTGGTGGTTCGTTATACTCTAGTCCTAATAGCAGTACTTCTAAGCATTCGTTGCGTAGAACTAACTCTCCTACAAGATCTCAGCATCATCAACAGCAACAACAGCAACCGCAACAACTAGGTGGCCCTCAGCAACAACTCCAATTGAAACAACAGCAACATAATAATGTTCAAATTCAACAAAATCAGCATCAATTACAATCTCAGCAGTACCATGATCAGAATGCTGCTCCCCAGCAAAATCATATAAATGCTCAACCTATGAATGAAGAAATAGAGACTCAAAAAGTAATGTTTTTAAGTGACCCTTTTGTGAGGACAGCTTTGGTTAAGGGTTCTTTCAAGACGATCGTACAGTTACCAAAATATGTCGACGCTGGAGAATGGATAGCTTTAAACGTCTTTGAATTTTTTACAAATTTAAATCAATTTTATGGTGTAATTGCAGAATACGTCACCCCAGATGCCTATCCAACTATGAATGCTGGTCCTCATACTGACTATCTATGGTTAGATGCGAATAATAGGCAAGTTTCTCTACCTGCAAGTCAATATATTGATTTGGCATTAACTTGGATAAATAATAAAGTTAACGATAAAAATTTATTCCCAACCAGTAGTGGAACCCCATTCCCTCAAGCTTTCCAAAGGGATGTGCAGAGAATTATGATTCAAATGTTTAGAATATTTGCCCATATGTATCACCATCACTTCGATAAGATAATACATTTATCCTTGGAGGCTCATTGGAATTCATTCTTTGCCCATTTCATAAGTTTTGCAAAGGAATTTAGTATAATAGATAGAAAGGAAATGTATCCATTACTTCCTTTAATTGAAAATTTCGAGTCTCAAGGCAAAATTATATAAATCCTGAATTGTTATTTATAATTATTTACTGTGCTGGAGGTTTTATACAGTAAACAATTTACAAACAGTTGCATAAAATTAATTCCATTATAATATCATCTCGGACAGGTTCACTTTTGCATTAATTTATAAGATTTAGTAGAATACTTATATAAATACTTTTTAAAACAGACAATAAAATTTAAGATAATTGTTAATTCTTTTATTAGAATAGATTATATTTTTATATACAAGATATCTATAATTTCAATAAAAACAAGTAGAATGCGATTAAATGATCTCTTGAATTGATATTTGAAATAAATATAGTATTTTACCAATTTAAATGTAATCAACTCAATTATGTTATTTCTATGATGCGGGTATTGTCTTTGTACTTTATATTGGCGGTGAAATGTTAATGAAATGCATTTATGAGAAAAAGTACTTACTCTCCTTCAAATCCTTAACATCAAATTCACCTTTTGGTGGAATTTCTGGTAACTGTAATGGAACTAGGACATGTAAAATATTTGTTTGTCTTTTGGTTTCAAATTGGGCAATGTCTCCATACTTTTCTCCCAATGAAATTCCAGTAATCATTTTCTTACCTTTCTCGACATCAGAAGCCTTAAATGAGTTTAATAATGCAAGTCTTTGCTTTTCCACAAATAATTCATCTGCTAAGGTACATGGATGTCCTAGAACATGTGATAATTCTGTTCTGAATTTAATAATTTCCTTACCTAACTCTGAAGATTTATCAATGGTAGTGATTTGAACATAGTTTTTGTAACGCTCATCAAATTCATTTTTTAATCTTTCGATTAAGTCAACCTCATGCAATTTAATAAACTGGTCTCTAAGTAAAGTATTCATAGTATCAACCTTGCATGCGTGAGTCCAATAAGAATCGTGAACAGCTGCAAAATCTAGACCAGCACCACCACAAGCACTGGCAGATAATAACATATGGGATGCATCTAAAGAATGAATGAAATTAGGTGGGAACCCAGCTTTTTGTCTTCTTGGATTAACTGGATTGACGGAAAATGGATCGCTAATAAACACAGTTTGCAGATTTGTCTTAACTTGTTTTCTTGTTTCATCACGATATGGTTGTACAATCGGTAAACCTAAAGGAGTGGTCCAGATAACAGATGACATGAAATCAGGTTTGTTACCATTCTTGAAAGACTTCTCATCCACATCTAAACGAATTGATTTTGAAACTCTTTTAGCGCATTCACCTAGCCAATCTTGAATTAAGTGTGCACCGGTAAATAATTCACGAATGGATGCAAATACATGTTTGGCAAGGTATTTAGATAATTCCAATGAATATTTTCTGTCTTCAAATATATCAGATAGTTGCTTGTCAATTTGGAAAGTGGCACCAACGTAAGTCACACCGTAAACATTGGTCATAACCGTTTGCTTCACTACCTTTCTAGTAATCTTATCCTTTAATTCAATTGCCTTTTCATCACCCTTTGCAGCTTCAGTTTCTAATCTTTGTTTCACTAATTTTGCAACATGAGAGTAAACATCTCTAGGTCTATCACTTGGAACTAAATTAACTTGGGTTGCACCCTCAACATCACCACCAAGTGCAGCATAGTGTTGTAACCCGTTACAAGTACCATCTTGGTGCACCGGTTGATAAGAAATAAAGTCCTCAGGATTATCAAGTTTACAAGCGTCAGCCAATTCAATACAGGTAGCTAGCGTTTGCCATGGCTTATCTGCCTTCTTCCACCAACCAGCTCCATTCAATGGGTTTTCTGCAGAATCCTTAATTTCAGCAAAGTGTTCATCAACAAAAGTTACTCTTTCTTCCAAGGATGCTTTGTCAAAACCATACATATTTGCTAGGTGAACTTTTAACCATTTTAACCCACTTTCTCCCAATCTTTTACCATTCCAAAACTTAAGCAAACCTCTGCTTAAATCGTTCCCTAAGTGATTAAAATGTGGTGATAATGGGTAAGCACGACCTCTGAAATCCAAATTATGTGGGAAATAAAACTTTTCACCTAAAAAGGCTCTTGCAATTTCTAACTTATAATTGGAGTCACATCTGACAGATCTGTTGGAGGAGAATTTATTTGCTAACTCTTTATTTTTCAGTTTCCAAGCTCTATGTACTGTTGGGTCAGCTTCTCTTGGTGGTGGAGGTAACAGTTTTAATTCATCTTCTATTCCAGGTATATCCAAGAATGGTTTTCCACTATTCCATACCTCGGAAATGATATCAAACACTTTTCTATTTACAGTCCAAGGGGTATCGCCTAATACATTTAACCCCTCATAAATACCATCGATAGCACCTGCATCAGAAACTGCCTTTAAATAAGCAATTTGTTCAGGTGAGTCTCTAGACCTGATTAATAAAGATTGGGAGTAATGGTATCCGCCAGATTTCCAGTTTTTCCAAGGTCTTGGCTTAACCAGCATTGGAAGTAATTGTGGTTGTACAGAAGATGCAATTCTTTCACAATTCAATTGATGAATTAAAGTCTTGTGAATCTTTAGGACACCTAACTTTGTACCATTATGATATTGATAAGTGTGAGAGAATGCAGGAACAACACCGAAAACATTCTTACCAGTCAATGGATCAACACCTTTGACATCTACCTTGGCTACATGAATCAGGTTTGAAATTAAAATAGAACCAATCTTTGCACGAGCTGATTGAGGCCAGATAACTTTTGACTGTTCGATTTGCATTGATCTGAAAGTAGATTTAGCTCTTTGTACATATTTCTTCAACAACTGAGATTGCTTATTTATGTCTTTAAAAGCATAAGATTCATTTTTTAAAATTTGATCAGATCTAAATTCCATTTCAATGGCTTTACCTACAGCAATGACTGCTCTAGCAGTTCTCATACCTTCGATGATACCACCAGTAGAGTTTAATTTCAGTAGTTCCAGTATAGTAATTACACACATCTTTTCAGGATTCACAATGGTTAGATATGGAGCATATTCTAATCTTGCTCTATCTTCCTTATTATATTGTTTCTTTTCTGGATTTGCTAGTAAGGCATTGCACCTTTCTACTTCTTTAACAACCAAAGGAAGCATTTCAGCGTACCATTTCCATAATCTTACATTTAAACCCTTCTGGATTGATATGTCACCTCTTGCTTTAGCCTCTTCGAAATCATGCTTCCAACGTTCCTTAGCAGCATCTGTTGCGCGCACCTCTAATATACGTTGTCTTTCTTGGTTCAAATCTTCTATGAATTCTTCAAATCTATGTTTTTCGGTATCATCCTTTAAAGATTTGTAAATTTCGAAGAAATCTAAGTTACTGTTGTCATCTGAATCAAAAACATTTTCTTTAAGCTTGAAGTTGGCATTGGTAATTTTTTGTCTTTGTCCATCATTTATGGTCAAACCTAATAAAGAATGTCTAACTACCTTCATCCCAATGGTATCAACAGCCACTAATTTCTTAACGTCTTTATCCAAAGTTTGAACCGACTCACCTAAACTTACTTCTGGTAATTCTGATTTTTCATTATTCAGCTTAAGGCC